GCAGTGAGACAATTGAAAGATAGTACATACATAGGCGTGGGCTCGGACAACCTTCTCTACACAAGAACCAGTTTGACTACTAATTGGAATCTAGTTCCAAACAGTGGTCCTGTCATTGCAACGGTCCAGCTAAGCGATAGTAGCTTTCTGGGTATTGAAACCGATAATTTGCTTTACACGCGTGCAACTGTAACAAGCAATTGGGTCATTATTCCAAGTCCAGACATATTCTTAGCAGTAAGACAATTGAAAGATGGGACGTACCTCGGCGTTGGTTCAGATAACAAGCTCTACACACGAACCACTTTAACTACTAATTGGATATTAGTTCCGAACACCAGTGGTGTTCTTTCAATCACACAACTCACTGACAGCAGCTTTGTAGGTGTTCTAACAGATAACCAACTCTATACACTAGCAAGTTTAACCAGCAATTGGGTAATTGTGCCACGAGGAGATACACTTCTTGAAGTTAGACAGACCCAAGACGGCACATTTCTGGGTGTTGGTACAAATAATATCCTTTATATACGGTCTAGTTTAACATCGAGCTGGATTAGTGTACCGAATAATCAGCCGATGATCAGTGTCACAAAATTAACCGATCACAGTTTCGTGGGTGTCTCGACCGATAACACAATTTACACACATGACAGGTGGAGTGGGAACTGGAATAGTGTGGGAAGAAGCGACGTTTTCTATTCAATTGGAGAGTTCGCAGATACCACCATTCTTGGTTTGAATACTAATGGCTTGCTTTGGACACGTGCTAGTCTCACTGCAAACTGGGTAATCGCTGCAGTGGCCGGCGCCGTTGCACGTGCTGCTATTATGAATGACGGAACATTGTTAGGCTTAGGTACGGATTATATAACATTCTATACTCGTTCAAGCTTGACCAGCACTGTCTGGACCGCAGTTCCTAGAACAGATTTCTTTCTTGTAGTAAGACAATTAAAGGATGGCACTTATATTGGGGTAAAGACCGATAATAATGTATATACATGTACAAGTTTGACTGCTCGATGGACCATCGTTGCAAATAGCGGACCGATGATTTCAGTTTCGCAACAAAACGATGGCACGTTTATTGGCGTTGGAACAGATAGCTCCGTTTATACACGAGCGACTTTGACTAGTAACTGGGTGACTGTGACAAGTAGCAGTCCCGTCATTGATGTGATTCAGCAAGCTGATAACACATATCTTGGTATAGGAACAGATAAACAACTATACCAAAGAACAGATCTCACCAGTAGCTGGGTGGCTGTCGTAAACAATGTTTCCATCATTAGCATAACGCAACTAAAAAATGGTAGTTATCTTGCTGGTGGCGTAGATAATCAGCTGTATGTACGTCCCGATCTGATCAATGGCTGGGTTGTTATTCCAAGTAGCGGTGCCGTGATTTCTGTTACACAACTCAACGATACTAGTGTCCTTGGAGTTGGAACATCACAGACGCTGTTTAAACGTGATACCCTGACTAGTGGATGGTATAGTATAGACACAACAGAAAAATTCATAGGAATGATACAACTTAAAGATAATACTTTTCTTGCTGTTGGCAATGATAACAATCTCTATACACGTGCAACTTTGACTACCTATTGGACTTTAGTACCTAACAGTTGTTGCGTGATTTCAGTCACACAGCTAAGCGATAGTACTTTCCTCAGTGTCGGTACTGGTAATTCGCTCTTCACACGCGCCACCATATCCAGCAATTGGGTTGGTGTTGCTAACAGTGGTGCTGTTAACGCTGCTATCCAACGCCGTGATGGTACATATCTCTTTATCGGAACAGATCGGACGCTGTCATACACAAGAGCTACTTTAACCAGCGCCTATGTTTCTATCCCTCGAATTGATCTATTCCTTACTATCAGTCTAAAAAACGATGGCACACTTTTAGCTGTTGGGCAAAATAATATGCTGTACACACGCACTGGCGTTTCTAGCGATTGGTGGGTCTTAACGAACCTTGGATCATCGATTGCAGCTAATCAATTAAGCGATGGCACATTCCTTGGTGTAGGCACTAACAATAGGCTATACACATCCACTAGTTTAACAAGCACCTGGACAATTTCGAGCAGCGCAACACTTTGTCTTACAGCCTCTCAGCTTTTAGATGGTACATTTATAGGTGTCGGAATGGATCATATGGCTTACACGTTTACGACGTTAACCGATACCTGGAATATTGTTGCACGATTCGATAAATACCTTAGCATCGATCAGGTAAACGATGGTTCGTTCCTTACTGTCGGCATTGACAAGCGGTTGTCTACACGTTCGACGTTGCCGATAAATTTTTTGACTGTACCAACAAACGAATTACTCCTTTCTGTTTCACAAATGCAAAATGGTACGATTCTTGCCGTTTGGCTAGATAACACAGTTTACATGCGTAGTTCTCTCACTAGCGATTGGGTCAACATCCCTAACAGTGGTGCAATCGTTGCCATTATGCAGCTCCTTGATGGTACATTTCTTGGTCTCGGCACAGATTATAATCTATATACGCGGCCTACTCTGAATGCTAACTGGAATTGGGTGCCCTCTAGTGGATCCGTTATATCAATCACACAATTAAGCGATGGCTCAATAATTGGTGTTGGAACCAATCACTATCTTTACAGCCGTACTACTGTGGGAAGCAACTGGGTCCAAGTTTCAACAACCAGCACGGGCACCATAGCAGTTACGGTGTTGCAAGACGGAACGTTTCTAGGTGTTTCACAGAACTATCAACTGGCCACAGCTGCCACTATCACAAGCAGTTGGGTACCTGTGTCAAACAGTCCCTATGTAATTTGGGTGACGCAACTTCTCGATGGATCCTTCCTAGTGGTGGGCACTGATTATCAACTCTATTCACTCGCTACACTAAACGCCGCTTCTATACCTGTTCCGCGTGGAACAGGCGCTATTTCAGCTTCACAACTTGCCGATAACTCATACATGATCGTTGCACCAGATAATACATTGTCAACAACAACAACATTGACGAATAGCGGTACGCCAGTCACGCCCAGCATTCCACTCATCGATGTTACTCAGAAAAGTGATGGCACCTTCATCGGTCTCGGTACGGATAATCTACTATACACTCGCGCAAGTTTAACAAGTAACTGGGTGATACTTCCGCGATCCGATATTTTCACCAGTGTTACTCAACTGCAAGACGGTTCTTTCTTAGGTGCAGGCGTCGATCATATGCTTTACACACGCAGCAAGTCTACCGA